GGTTCTTTTTATTATTAGATTTTATTTAAATATAATGTTAAAGTAATTTCTTAATGTAATTTCAGAGTAATTACAATGAAATTGTAGGCATTTTATAAATACAAGTGTTGCAATAGCATGCAATTATGGTTTCGTTTCACATTAGAATAGTTAAGAATTAATTGAATTTTTCAGTATGGTTAGGTTTGAAGATTGCCCATGTGTATATTATATACGTTGATGAAAACTTTGTAAATCAAAATCATTAAAAATATTATTTTATAGCCAAATTAATGTAAAAAGTTGGTCTCAATTAAGTCTCTAGTCTGTCTGAAAATGTTCCAAACAAAAATCGAAATAACTCTTTAAAATTTCGGTAATTCTAAACAAGTCGTTTCAATTATTTATTGCTTTCCGCATCCCACGCATTAAGTAAAATCTTTAATTAAAAAATTTTCATTATCTGCTTATAGATTCGTGAAATTTCATCAACTCTGCAATGATAAAGTCACAAGTCAAAGAGAGACATTTTGTAGAAAAGCGTTCTATTAAGTAACTGTTTTTTCTGTGTAGGGAAAATTATCAATTTACTAGTGTAAACAATGTACATGGAACATTAATTTTTGGCTCCAATTTCTATACAACTATAAGCAATATTATTTTTATATTATTCTAATTTTTCAAAGTAAAAGAATTATTATATTGTATATATTATTTATTGTATATGTATTTGTATAGAATTGTATATATTTTATATATATTTTATATATATAAAATTTTAAAATATTCTGTCCTTTAAAAATTACTCTGATACTTTTTATAATACCGTATATATGTATGAGTATAAAGCCATAATAATGAAAATGTGAAAAATATTGGATTTTTTTTCTATATTTCTCTCACTAATCGATATTATTTTTCATGTCTATGTTCTTTACTGACTCAATAATTTATTTAAAAAAAAATCACTTAATTTCTTTTAATTTACTACAATACCATTTTTATTTTCTAATATTATATACATATATTAAAACACATCTATAAACATAGTTTAATTAACATAATAATACAAAAAAATAGTTAAATGTATATAAAACAACAATTGTTAACATTTTGTACAGCAGTTGTTTTTAAAACCTTATCATTTTGTAATGACTACTAAGTATGTATGCATATATGTTTATATGAAAAAGAAGAAAAACATAATTTATGTATATTAGAAGTTGATTATGTTGAAAACATTGTAGTGTTCCTATTATATTCCTTACACACATACATACATAAAAATTATTTTATTTACTAATGTTTTTTTTTTTTATAGTAAAACAGTCTGTATATAAGAAAACCATAAATACCTCATTTCAGAAGAGAAAGGAAAAACAAAAACAAAACCAGAAAACAAGAGCAATATTTTATAATTAACCTTATGTATAAACGTACATATACATATGTATGAATATGAAGCGTATATATTTAAATGAATTTGTATACATACTAAAAATTAAATTACAATAAATTGAGCAACAATCACAACCTGTTGTCCGTCCAAATATTAAAAATCACGGCGATAAAGATCGTTTTAATTCTATACCATTATGTACGTACTATATGTTTGTTTTATGCGGAGAGAATAGATTTTTTGAAGAGAGTAAGTTAGAGAGAAGTTGCAGAGTAACTTAAATTTAAATATATATTTCTTAATAATATGAAAAAAATTTTAGGCAATAAAAAACTACAAAGAAAATGTAACTAAAGTAAAAAATAAAGATAATTGTTTTTTTTTTTCGAAAAAAAAACGATAAAAAATCGAGTTGGTCATGTTTACTCTATGATACCCGTACGTTATCCTTTGAGCGAATAATTATGTTAAAGTTGACTGTAACATTCTACGACTTCAATTACGCCGGTTTTATAAGAAATAAAATAATTTATATACGTGGTGTTAAGCCGTTTGTATTCGGTTGTATTGGACCACTTACTTGGGAAGTAAGGAAAGAAAATCACGGAGTGGTTTTATAATACCCTTCGAACATAGGTTCGCACGCAAATAACAGTTGCAAAATTACCATATGCATTTATGCAAAATTTTAAAATAACAACCAAATAACAAGGAGTCAAGAAGTTTCAACGATTTTTATCAAGCGTAAGACCCGTTAACACATATTATTAATCATTTTTAATAATTTGACGAACTCAGGTCAATTGGTTTTTAAGTTATCGTTGAAGCGGACAGACATGACTAAATCGACTCAGGATTGGACGCTGATCAAAAACATACACTAATGTCTATATCGCAGACCATATATCTATATGGAAGTGATAAATAATTTAAAACTTAAAGTATTTTTATTTCAGAAAGACAATCAGATATTATGAATTAGGAAAGTTATGAATTGGCTTTAGCGCCAACATTTTAATTGCTAATGGAAAAGCAAAATTATTATAACGATTTCGAAAATTTAATTTGAATTAAAAGAGAAGAGAGAAATCCTTGAAACTTTTCTTTTCACAATTTCAATTATTATTTTTATTTTGTTTTCTTGAATATTAAAGCGACTAACTGTGAAATTAGCCGAAGTTAAAATTGTTATTTTTCTTTTCGCTTTTTTTTTCTGTCTTTTCACGTTTCCTTTGTATTTTTAAATATTTAATCTGTATATTGGTTGCTTCTTTTTTAAGGATATCTAAATTGTACAAATGTACATTTAATTTTGTTATGTATATGTTTTCGGTGTTTTTGGAATTACTTATTTATTTATTATTATTGGCGGCGGCCAATGAACTTTAAATAATGTGTTTTTATTGGTTATATTTTTTTTTATTTGAATTTCTCTTTAGAGAAATTTCTTGTAAGCAAATAACAATAAAAGACATTTGGTAAGGCTTATAATATAAAATTTTACGCACTATATCATGGTATATTTTCATATATACAGACATATAGTAATTTATATATGTATGTGAATGTAATTTGAATTGTTATCTCTAAAGGCACATTATGAAAATATTTACGCATATAAAGAATTGCCATTATTACGAGAAAAGAAAAGGAAGTACATACAAGAAAATTAAAGTGTTTTTTAGTATGTTATAAATAACAATAAAAAATAAATAAAAATGAAAAAATGAAAATGTTTTTTTTTTTTGTTTTCTTAAACCTTGAACCGTAGACAAGGATATAAGATTAAACGAGAACAACATTATAATGTGTAACTATCGCAGTATATAATTTTAGGACCATACTTAATCTAGATTATATTTTTATTAATGCACGTAAATCGTGGCTGAAAATTATCGTATATAACGCACATTAATTTTACATAAAAAGCATAGAACAGCGAACTGTTTTAATAAAACTTAAAGAGTAAATCTCTTTCATATATAAAAGAAGTGTCCTTTCAGTATGCCTAAAAAACTTCCAAACCTTTCAAACACTTAAGATTTTACAAGAAGCAAAGTCCATATTTCGCTTAAATAATAAAATTTATCCAAACAAAATATTTTGAAAACTTTGATCTAAAAATTTCGAAAATTTGATTTTGAAATGTAGTATTTTTATTGTGAGGGAGTGTTAATTTTTGTATACTTATCTATATACATACATATGTACTTATGTACATAAACATAAATGTACAAAACTTTTATATTAAATTTATTAAAAAAAAAATAACAAAAAGTTTCTCCTTTAAAATTTTTCTCCAAGGAAAACATAATTTTTTTTACAACAACAATGCGCAACAACAAAAACATAAAGTGAAATTGAAAGAAAAACCAACGTCCTAAGTATAGTAAAAACATAGAATAAAAACTATATGAAAAAAAATAAGAGAAACAACCAGAACACGAAAATTACAAGTTGGTTGGATTATTGCGTCTAATTTATAATTCTTACAAGTATAAAGCAAGGAACCAGAAACAACTAAAACTTACAAGAAAAAAAGAACAACTCAAATTTTGTGAAAAAATAAACACGCCAAAGAAAAACGTAACATCACAAATTTTTACAACCAAAGAATTGTTAAAAAAATTCTTATTTTTATAATGTAAGTAACTTGCATACACACATGTACATTTATACAATATTAGTGTGCGTTGATTTTAATGCTAATTTTCTTGTTTTTGAAGAAGAAATTTCAAAATGAATTTTCATATTGTATCTTATATCGAAGGTTGTAATTATGATTTGAGTTTTGATAGAAATGAGTGATATTGTATATACATATACAATTAATATTGCATGTATGTGTCCATATATCTGAAGGTTATTTAGAGGCAACAGTCAATGATATCATCCTTCCTTTGCTATATTATACATACGATTGATGCCTAGATTGTAGGTTACTGAAGAGGGATATGGGCAAAGGAACTCCTTCTCTCCGGCCACCACAGTTGGCCGTGGCTTATCCTGAAAGATATTTCTCAAAAAGTTGAGCTGCCGAAAAGTAAAAAGTTCACACCCAAACCATTTGCTTCTCCTAACAGGACAGTCGAACAGAATATGTATGGTCGTCTCCTTATCGTCCCGCCAGAGTGTATACAAAAGGGAGTCTGATTTGCCCAGTTTGTGCAGGTAATATTTCAGTGTAAAAGACAGTAATTGCACGAACCCGATTTCGATCCATCCTCAGCAGCTGTGGGGAGAACCTCTTTGAGCAAGATTAAAAAACAGCTTCGCATAATAACATTCCACAGTAGCCTTTCCGCAAAGGTTCTATTCCTCCTCAAGCAGAACGGCAAGTCTGCCCCTAATGGCAAACATTAACAGTCCAATGAAAGAGACACCGACAACACCGCCCGCTATGTGGGAGAATATAGATGGTGCGATTTTTATATTCCCTTTTCAAGTTCGCTCTAAAGCAGACTTCTATCGCATGTATTTTAGCTTGAAACATCGAGCATTATGGGGCCAGGGTCACTCTCATACGTGTTCAACAATGAGGCAGACGTTTGCAACGTAGTAGTAAATTCCAAATATCCTAATATATTAACAATTAGAACTTTTAAAATAAGGGCAAACATACCATAAAATATCCTGAGTTATTTACATTTATGTTTCATATACTCGAAGATTAAAGTTATCCTTGTAATTTAGTGATATCTGAAAAAAATAAAAAAAAACGGAAAGAACATTATAAATAAATAAACAAGATTGAAAGTAAAGGAAAATATTAAGAAAAATTAAAAAATTATTCAAAAAAAAAATTATCAAACTGTGAAAGATTTCTTAACTCACTTATCGTTTCTTTTCTTTTTGTTTATATTTTCTTTTTTTCGGGGTCTTTTTACTAAAAATTATTTTTCAGTGGCTTAACATTTGTCATTTTGGAACCAACTTTTACGAAAATTAATCATTTTTTATATTTGAAATATTTCCAAATTTATTGAGTTACTGCGATAGAAAATTTTACACATAAATTTGCAGATGGTTCGCATACCGGCTCATTATACGACTAGATTTTATTGATAGGCTAAATATAATTAATTATATAATTTTAAAACTTATTAGCCTGGAAATTGGGTATTTATGTTAAGAAGTTGAAAATTTTTATATAAGTATTTATGTACGTAGTGATTATGATAAATAACCGATAGGTAATTACTTAGAAAAAGCACATTTTCTATTGATATATGTGTATGATGTGGAAGCGTATCAAAATGAGTTATGTACATGTTAAAAAATCTAATATGGATGGGATTCTGATTAAATATTCTATTAATCATTTTAAATCAATTTTTTTAATTTGTGTTTCCATTCCTTTAGATTATCAATTTGAATGTTTATTGTAAAAGATTGATAATTATCGAATGGATTGTACTTTATTGAGGAGTGAGATGGGCAAAGGAACTCCTCCCCTCCGATCACTGCAGCCATCCATATCCCCTTCTTCAATATTCCACTTATACTACCCGGATCCCAACAAAAGACGGACATATCTCGCAGGGGGTTGGATGTTAGCTCACCAACACTAAGAACTAAGTTTAGACTAAACCATATGCGCCTCTTGAACCATAAGAGAACAGTCTCGCATAATATATATGGTAGTCTCCTCATCGTTCTCGCCGAGTTTCTACAAAAGGGAGTTAAATTGGTAGTGTTTGTGGCAGATGATTATTATTGTTCTAAGGATCAGGTAGCTGCGTTGGTGAAGGTGAAGTCCTGCGGGGGCTGGACAGAGTTCATTGTGTGCTCATCCTACCTCCCGGGGGACTGTGCCCACCCGGACGAGCAACTGAAGGATCTAGTGGACTTTTGTGGAAGGAGGAACTTCCAACTTATAATAGGAAGTGATGCCATTGCCCACCACACCGTCTGGGGAAGCAGCAATATAAACAAAAGAGGTGAGTGCCTACTTGAATTTATATATAGCAATAAATTAATGATTATGAATGAGGGCAATAGGCCGACATTCATAAATGCAATTAGGGAAGAGGCCCTTGACATCACCCTTTGCACTGAATTTATCGGCAGTAGGGTTGGTGGATGGCATGTCTCAAATGAGACATCCATGTCCGATCATAGGCAGATTAGGTTTGATATCATGGTCTCCGAGGGCCTGGCAGAAGAAATTTATCGGGTGCCCCAATCCACAGATTGGAGACAATTCGAAACGCTCCTCATGGATGGGATTAGATCCGTTCCTGCTTCTGTCAGAACGGTGATGGATATCGAACTGGCCAGCGAGGCCCTGACGGCGGCTATTACTAATGCCTATCACGGGAGCTGCCATGCTAAGCCGAGGCGGAGCAATAGGAAGTGCCCGTGGTGGAATGAAGAGCTTTCAAGGCTTAGACTAAAGACCAGAAAGCTATTCAATAAGGCCAAGGCGTCAGGTTCGTGGGAAGAGTATAAGGACTCACTCACAAATACAATAAAGAAATTAGGAAAGCAAAGAGAATCTCGTGGAGGGCGTTCTGCAAGGGCATTGATGAACTCCCTAGCTGTGCGCGTCTTCACAGGGTGCTTTCCAAAAAGTATGCTAGCGGGTTGGACCTAATGGAACGTCCTGATGGCTCCATGACTGAGAACGGAAAGCAGACGTTGGAGCTTATGGCGTCAACGCACTTTCCTGACTCGGAGATTCTTCGGAATCACTCAAATGCAGTCATCGAACCGGGGGCACCCTGGCCCAGGAGGGATGACTGGCAACGATCCCGTCTAGTCTTCACGATGGGCAGGATTAGATGGGCTGTTTTCTCTTTCAGGCCCTTCAAATCTCCAGGTGATGACGGGATATATCCTGCATTTTTGCAGAGGGGTTTCCAACGTATCGCTAGAGCACTGTTGGGAATTTTTCGTGCCAGCTATGCGTGGGGTTACATCCCTCAGGCATGGAGGGTGGCTAAAGTGACGTATATTCCGAAGGTGGGTAAGCGACCAAGCAACCACCCAAGGTCTTTCCGTCCAATCAGCCTTACTTCTTTTCCATTGAAAGCAATGGAAAAAGTGATTGATAGATTTATACGGGACGGTGCACTGGGAAGCAATCCCTTGCATGAATCTCAGTACGCCTATCAGTCGGGAAGGTCTACTGTACTCGCTCTGCAGAGTCTGGTGGGGGTCCTTGAAAACTCACTGGAAGTGCGGGAGGTAGCAGTTGGCTGCTTCCTTGATATAGGGAGCTTTTGACAACACCCCATATCATGTCATCTGTGAGTCGTTGCACAAACGAGGGATTGATGCGACGACTAGCAGATGGGTCAATCGGATGCTACAGGATAGGATTATTAAGTCCACCATAGCTGACGATATACTCTTCATCTCCGCTGCAAAAGGATGTCCGCAGGGCGGGGTTCTTTCGCCCCTCCTGTGGTCCATTGTAGTGGATGATCTAATCGCTGCTCTCAGGGGCTCCGGGGCGCGTGTCTGGGGATACGCTGACGATGTGGCCTTCGTCGTGCGGGGAAAATTTGAGAGCACTATTTCTGATCTTCTACAGCAAAATTTACGTGTTGTGGAAAGGTGGTGCAAAGGCGTTGATCGATGGACGTGAGATAGGGGTGGTCCGGTACTTAGGTCGGGTTCGAGCGTGTGGTATGCGGACGGGTCCAAAACGGAGTCGGGTGTGGGTTCGGGCGTATACGGTGTCCGCCCGGACACGCGTATATATGCAACCCTTGACCCGTATTGCACAGTTTTCCAGGCCGAAATACATGCAATAGAGATCTGTCTGAGAATCAATTTGGAAAGGGGGTATAGAAACCGCACCATCTATGTGTTCTCAGACAGCAGGGCTGCGCTGCTGGCACTCCGTTCAGCTCAGGTTACATCCAAGCTGGTCTGGAGCTGCCTTGCTGCACTTAGGGAATTGGCATCGGAGAACAGAGTGATGCTCATTTGGGTGCCGGGCCATAGTGGTCATGAGGGCAACGAAGTTGCCGATGAGTTGGCGCGGAGGGGATCTGGGGCTGCCTTTGTGCAGCCGTTGCCTTTCTGCGGTCTGCCTTCTTCCGCCGTGGGGGCCAGGTTTGCCTGCCTACTCGCGGTGGAATGCGGCCGTCACTGGCGGGACACGAAAGGGTGCCGTCATGCGAAGGTGTTTCTTCCGGCGTGCTCCAGCGGATTCGCCGCGGAGTTGCTGGGGATGAGCAGGAGCCGGGTTCGCACTATTGCGAATTTCTTCACGGGGCACTGCCCGGTGAAGTACCACCTGCATAGGCTGGGGAAGTCGGGCTCCTCCCGATGCAGATTTTGTGTGGGTGGCGATGAGACCGCCGTGCACATTCTCTGCGACTGTCCGGCACTAGCTGTTCGGCGCCGCAATTGTCTTGGACATGGGTCCCTAAGTGTTCGGGAACTGTTGTCCAACTCCCTTAGGGATATCTCCGCCTTTGTGATTGGGACGGGGATATTATAGACGGGAGAGTGGGGGGGCTACAATAAGTCAAAAATGGCTGCGGTGGCTTGGGGGGATGCTCCTGTCCCACTCGGTTCCCTTAGAATCTACAATCTACAATCTTGTGGCAGATGATATTCCACCGTAACATGTCTAGTAAAAAAGTTAGTAATAGAACGAACTAAATTTCGATCCATCCGCATCAGCTCTGAGGAGAACTTCCTTGATCAACCAGTTTGAATGTGATCTGAATCGATTCGAGTGCCGACAATGCCGCCCTGTTTCTAAGAGTATATAGATTCTTTTATAACCCGTTTCCAAGTTCGCTTACAGGGATGATTATCTTAAATTACATTGTAGATTTAATGTGATATATTTGGAACTATATTTTTATATAAATTTTAAGTAAAACATTTTTAAGTATAAAATACTATAAAATTTCAATACGCAATTACTATTTTCTAGTAATTTTATACTTATACTTATAAGCTTTTCTAGCAATAACGTGCAATTTAATTATTCCCTTGAAGAATGTGTCAGATGTTTCATTTGTGCTGCAAAAGACCACTTTTTTCCTTTCAATTTTAAACCACTCAAAATTTTAATTTCTTTTAGTAAACTGAATTTTTCTCTTTCATTTTATACTTTGTACATTCTTAGACTTATGATTTTTATAAAATTTTAAATTTTGTATACGTGAACATTTTTTTTTTATTCAGACAATTGAAACATTATTAACGTCTTAATTTTCAATTTGCATTTTATTCACATATACTATGCAATTACGTGCACATTAACAATAATAATGTTAAATCTTTTATAAAGCGCAATATTGTGAAAAAATGCATTATTATAATATAATGTGGACTGAAAATTATTTTGTTATAAACGCCAGAAAAGTATTTTAAGAAACTTTTGAAAAAAAAAACTGTATTATAAAATGTAAAGTTATAACTGTCTATTTATAAATAGACAGTATAGCAATAATGTAGTTTAGTTGCGACAGTAAGACCAGATAATTCACAATAAACTTCTTTGAAAAGAAATTTCATTTGCAAAAAAATCGTCATTATGAATTTAATTTTTTCAATAATGACCAGATATCACGTACAATGTTTGCGACCTGTATCACGTACAGGCAGTGGCGACCTCCAAATACAATTCCAAGCAAGTATTTTATTTTATGGTAAACATGTTGATAGAAAGACTAAAAATACAAGGATGCAATGACACCTATGTATCAGAAACATAAAAATTTAAAGAA